TTTCTCACTATCTACAATTGTATTATTTATTTGGTAGTTTATTAGCTTACCAAAGAATATATGTGTTCTGTGGCTTGTCTGTTTTTTTTTTCACCAATGACTCCAAAGCATATTGTAGGCATTCAAAAAATTTGTGTGAAGTGAGCATTTCATCTTCCCTGTAAGTTCTTCATGGAGGATACTGTGACCGCCTCACTTTTGCATCCCTCACAGTGGCCAAAACATAGTGCCTTGTATAGAATAAGAGTTCTAAAAAATAACTATTGAATGAATGAAATATCATTGTCTTCCCCCTCCTTTTGAGACAAAATGAAAAAACACCTGCTTCCAGCTGGACCTCAATAAACAAAAATGTGTACCAAAAAAAAAAAAAAAAAGAATTGACAAATGGGACTGCATCAAATGAAAAATTTCTTCACATCAAAAGAAACAGTTACTAGAATCAAGAAAATGAACAGAATGGGAGAAAATCTTCGACAGCTATTCTGAGAAACGGGATTAATATCGAGAATACACAAAGAGCTCAAAAAGTTAAACTTCAAAAGAACAAACAATCCAATTAATAAATGGGTAAATGAATTGAACATACAGTTCTCAGAAGTTCATGTGATTATTAAATACATTAAGAAATGCTCAGCATCCTGAGCTCTAAAGGAAGTGCAAATCAAAAACCACACTGAGATTCCATCTTATCCCAGTCAGAATGGCTATTATCAAGAAAACAACAAATTCTGGCGAACATGCAGGGAAAAGGAACCTCCATACACTGTTGGAGCAATGTAAACCAGTGCAACTGGTATGGAAATCAATGTGGAGGCTCCTCAAAAAATGAAAAACTGACTTACCTTATGATCCTGCCGTACCACTCTTGGGCATCCGAAGGAGGATAAATCAACTTACAAGAGATCTAGATAACCTGCAGACTTGTGTTTATTGCAGCTCTTTTCACAACAGCCAAACTGTGGAATCAGATGAAGTGTTCAGCAGTTGACACATATGGTACATGTACACCACAGATATTATTCCACCATAAAGAAGAATGAAATCATGTCAGTTACAGGAAAATGAATGAATAGAGATCATTGTGCTGAGTGAGAAAAGCTCAAAGAGCCAGATATCACCATGTTCTTTCTCATTTGTGGAACCTAGACCTAAAATGATGGTGATGAAGATGACTGATGATGATAATAATGGTACGTGAATGTATATGGGGACTGTCTTAGGGGGACCAGTGGAAGATGAGAGGGGACACTGAGGGGTGAAGAGGATCGAAATATGCTACATATAAGTGTATAAAGACATCATAATGAAACCCCCCAATTACTGTTTAAAAGAGGGAGGAGCAGAGATGAGAAGATGGGAATATAATTCAGGGGTGGATTTGTTTAAGGAACACTGTATGGACTCATCACAATGAAATCCCTTGTATGGTAAATTAAAAACAAAAAGTAAAATTAAAAAAAAAACATTTAAAATCAGTAAAGAAATTATAAGTCTGGGAAAATGGTGTAAGAGCAATTGACTAACCATTAAAAAGTTAAATTTATTCTTCATACAATATTTTTAAAAATCTCATTGTATCATAACAGGAACAGTTGAGGTCTACAATCTTAATTTTTATTTGGTTTTGGCAGTACTTGGGTTTGAACCCAGGACCTCATGTTTGCTGGGAAGGAGCTCTATCACTTGAACCACACCTCCAGCCCTTTTTGCTGTTGTTATTTTTTTAGGAAGGGTCTTATGCTTTTTGCCTAGGACCAGCCTTAGACAGTGATCCTCATACCAACACCTCCTGAGTAGCTGGGATAACAGACGTGTGCTACCACTCTAGGCCTGGTTTTTTGAGATGGATTATTGCTAAATTTTTGCCTAGGCTGATCTTGGATTGTAACCCTCATGATCACTGCCTACTAAGTAACTGGGATTACAGGCTCCGTTAGAATTTTTAAGCATACAGTGCTGTATAGTCACTATGGTGCAATGTTATTTGAAGATCTCTAGAACTTACTCATCTTATTAAAACTTGCTGCACAATATAGTTACTCCCCACCTCTTGCTCTCCACCAAGTCCCTGCACACTTTTAATTTGACTTTTTTGGTAACCTCGTAAGTGGAATCACACAGTAGTTGTTTTTCCTGTGACTGTCATTTTACATAGCATAATGTCCTCAAGGTTCATCCTTGTTATTGCATATTGCAGAACTTCCATCCTTTTAAAGACCAACTAATCTTCTATTGTATGCATCCACCATGTTTCTTCATCCACTCATCTGTCCAAAGGCACTTAGATTGTTTATATAACTTGTTTGTTGTGAATAATGTTAAGGTAGCATGGGAATGCTGATATCTCTTTGAGAAACTTATTTCAATCTTTTGGATAATGCTCAAAAATACAAATCTTGAATTGTAGTTTTGGAGTAATCGCTATAATGTTTGCTATGACATCTATACCGTTTGGCTGTTCCACCCAGCAGTGTGCAAGGGTTATGATTCCACCACATCCTCATTAACACTTGTCTTTTGTTACATAATAGTCATCCTGACAGGTGCGAGGTTTTATATGGAGTTTTAATTTACATTTCCCTGATGATTAGTGGCGCTGAGAGGCATTTTTAAGTGCCTCTTAGCTGTTCTTACATCTTCTTTGAAGCAATGACTACATGGATCCTTTGGCTGATTTTCCCCAGTCCTTTTTGCTTTAGTTATTTTCTGAATAGGGTCTTGCATTTTTGCCCATGGCAGGCCTCCAACCATGATTCTCCTACCTATTCCTCCTGGGCAGCTGGGATTACAGCTATTACTGTAACTTTGAAATGTACTTTGAAATTACGAAGCATGACGCTTCCAGGGTTCTTTTGTTTTGTGATTCCATATAGACTATAGAATGTGTTTTCTATTTCTATTAAAAAATCATTGCAATTTGATGGGAAATAGCATTGAATATTTAGATCACTTCATGTAGTACAAATATTTTAACAACATTAATTATTCTAATTCATGAACAGGGGGTGTCTTTCCATTTGTTTGTGTCTTCTTTCTTTTGTCAATGTTTACCACAATCAAAAAATATTAAATTAAATCCAAGGGGGCGGGGGGAAAGGAAGGGGGTGGGGGGAAGGGGGGAGAAATGACCCAAACATTGTATGCACATATGAATAAAAGAAATTTTTAAAAAATCCAGGCACTAGTGGCTTACACCTATAATCCTATCTACTTGGGAGGCTGAGATTTGAAGGCTCACAGTCCACTTTGGCTTGGCTTAAAAGTGAGACCCTATTCCCAAAATAACCAGAGCAAAAAGGACTGAGGACATGGCTCAAGGAACAGAGCATCTGAGTTCAAACCCCAGTACCACCAAAACAAAAAAAATTTTTTTAATAAATTTTATTTGAAAAAAATAAGTAAAACAAACAAAACAAAGAGCTTCGAAGTGCTAAATGAAACAAAATAGAATACATAGACAGTAATCCTCCCTCATCCACCCAAGGATGTCTGAAGCCACAAGCAGCATTGAACTCTATATATACTGTGTTTTCCTTCACAAACATACCTATACAAAACATGCCTATACAAAAATTCAACTTATTTCAATTTATAAGTTAGGCAAAATATGAGCTTAATGATAAGTAATAATAAATAGAACAATTGTATCAATATACAGCATTGCTGCTCTTGCCTGCGGGGTCATTAGTAAGTAAAGTGAGGGTCTAAGAAGATTGCAACATCTGCTAGCAGAGGTGGTGCTAGGTGACTAATGGATGTGTAGTGAACATAGGGCTAATACACTGCTCAAAGGCATGACTCACTGGGCTCCAGCCTAGATCTTTTCTCTATTGTTTCTCCACTTATTTCCTGAGTGATCTCATTCAGCTCTTGGCTTCCTAATTTCTTCTCTTTTTGAAGTCAGAATAAAGTGCACTTTCTTTTACTGACATAGAACGTACTTAAACTTCAAATACTGGTTCTCTAAGAAAAATTTCTTCTGATAAATAATATGCATAACCATGAACCAAAAATGTATACAGCTGCCTTTACCAAAATATTTATACACATAATATCCATTTAAGACCAGCTGTTATAACCTACTGAATGCGGTGTGCTCTTACAAATGGTCGACCCTCAGCATATAAAATATATGGACATGTATGTTATCCATAAAGTAAAAAATACAAAAAGAAGAGATGGCAAACAATAAAAAGAAAGTATCCTTCCCTAAAAGATCCAGACAGAGTCAGGGTGCTGGTGGCTCACACCTGTAATCATAGCTACTTGGGATCATGGTTTGAGGCCAGCCTGGGCAAATAGATGCCATCTCTAAAAATAATCAGAGCAAAATGGACTAGAGGCATGTCTCAAGTGGCAGAGCACCTGCTTTGCAAGCATGAAACTCTTGAGTTCAACCCCCTAATCTTACCAAAACTGATAATTACTAAGACCATATAAAATGTTTGAAGAATTTCAGTTTTGGCATATACTTTTTAGAAAACTATGCAAGTTATGAGATTACTAAATTGCCATCTTAATTAATAGACGTAAACATTAGGTGAATATGTTATCTTCTGATATGTAGAAAAGAAGACTTTTTTGGGGTCTGTTAACAAATAAAAATGTCACTCATTTTTAGCATGTTAGTAACAACTCCTTATTCGGGCATGTGTTGTACAGAGAACCAAACCCTGGTCCACTGGCATCTAAATATGCTGGTGGAAGACTCCAGTGGACAGGATATGAATTGTCCCTACAGCTTACAGGGAATGAGGCGGGACGTAATGACAATGGAAGGGTTTACACCCAAAGGCAGCGGACCCTGTTAAAAAAGCACACTGAATGTGTCTGTAGCATTCTTTCTGCTGCACTTTATTTCAAGTCACAGGTCTACTTGGAGGATCATGCAGCAAGGGGCATATAAATAGTATCAGAATCTATGAACAGTGTCATCACATTAGGAGACAGAGCCGCGGGATTCTCTCTTAGGCTAAAGGAGTGTCAGATGGCACCACTCAGGGGATGCCAGAGATATACCTTGCTCCAATCAACATCACCATGCTGCTCACTATAAAAAAGCCCAAGGGCAGACTACAGAAGACACTCGGATCACCTCTTTCTGGAGAATGAGTTGTAACCCAGCCCATTGACCTCATCACAGCTTTCTTCCATGTAGAATAGCGAATTTCACTTTCCTCAGCCTTGATCTGAGGTTCGAACCGCTCCATGAGGACGGCTGACAAATCCTTGGGTTCCAAACTCCACACACCAACTCCTTCTGCGGCCCCAGCTGCCATGGCAGCTCCCAGGGCAGTTGTCTCAGGCATGGAAGGCTTCACCACGGGAATGCACAGAATGTCTGCCTGCAGCTGCATAAGAAGCCTGTTGCCAGTCATTCCTCCATCCACCTGCAAATGACTGAGTGGAATCCCACAGTCACGATTCATGGCATCCAGAATCTCTCGAGTTTGGAAACAAACAGCTTCTAAGGCAGCAAAGGCAATGTGGCTCTTATTGGTGAACTGAGTGAGACCACAGATTATCCCTCTGGCACTGGAATCCCAATAAGGTGCATATAACCCTGAAAATGCTGGGACGAAGTAGCAGTCATAGGAAGTACCTGCTTCTTTAGCAAGCTTTTCAATTTCCTCTGACCTCTTAATAATTCCAAGATTGTCTCTGAGCCAACGAACAACCTCACCAGCTATAGCTACAGAACCTTCCAGTGCATAACACACCGGTTTGTCCCTGCCAAGTTTGTAGGCCACTGTGGTCAGAAGACCATGTTCAGAGAAGACACACTTATGGCCCGTGTTACACAATAAGAAACATCCTGTTCCATATGTATTTTTAGCTTGTCCATCCTGGAAGCACATTTGTCCCACTAAAGCTGCAGACTGGTCCCCCAAACATCCGGATAGTGGCACACCTTCCAAGGCCCCAGTTTTCATTAGGCCATATATCTCCGAAGAACTCCGGATATTGGGAAGAATTTCCACTGGGATTCCAAAAAATTCGCAGAGCTCTTTATCCCATTTCAAGGAATGAATGTTGAAAAGCATCGTCCGACTGGCGTTTGTCACATCCGTGCAGTGGACGCCTCCCTCCACCCCTCCTGTCAAACTCCAGAGAAGCCACGAGTCAATCGTCCCAAAAAGAGCCCTCTTCTCTTCAACGGCCTTTTGAACTTTTTGCACATTAGCAAGGAGCCAACGAAGCTTGACTGCGCTGAAGTAGGTGCTGATTGGAAGGCCAGTCTTGGCCTTGACGAAGTTGTTTCTTACTGGGATGCATTTACGGAGGTCCTCCACGGTGGACTGGGTTCTGAGGTCAAGCCACACCACCGCATTGTAGAGAGGCTCTCCGGTCAGCTTGTCCCACACCACTGTGGTCTCCCTCTGGTTGCTGACACCAATGGCCTTTATGTTGGAGATGTCCACGTTGAGTTGTCTCAGCTTCTCACACGTTTTCTCTATACACTCGTGGACAGACTGCAGAATCTCCATCGGGTCTTGTTCCACCCATCCTTCTTTGGGGAACTGCTGTGTTATTTCCACTTGATGATGACTAAGTAGTTCCGCTGTTTTGGAATTGAAAACCAAAAAACGCGTCGAGCTCGTACCCTGGTCCACTGCCCCTACCAACGGCCCTACAACTGCTTTCTTGGTGGCTGCCATGAACCCACCGTCAGGTTGGCAGTGACCGCGTCAGGTTTCCCAGGTGACCACGCATGCGCGTGCGTCGTGCGCGTGCGTGCGTGCGTGCGTGCCTGCGTGCAGGAGAGGGGCGCGCGGGAGAGGCAGAGGGGCGGGCGCGGAGGCCTGAGTGCGCGGCAGTGCGCATCGTGGACCCTCCTGGCCTCCTCACGTGCAAGCGCAACCAGGCCCTCCACTGAGCTGCAGGTTCATACACCCAGCCTTGGATGTAAGTCAGGCATCTTAAACTTAATTTATCCAAAGCTCACTTTTGACCTTCTCCCAGCTCACCTCTGTGCTCTTAACTCAGTAAAGAACCCGGGCGCCCAAGCTAACATCGTAGGTAGGTTTTTTTTGTTTCTTCTCTCAAAACTCACATCCCACCCGTCAGTAAGTCCAGCCAGCCCTGTAGCTGCAATATCTGTTCAAAATGACCACTGCTTGCCACTTTCACTACCATCAACTTGGTCCAAGCCATGGGCAACTTTCTGTGTAACCACCTGCTCTTGCACTCTTCTTTCTTTAAAGTCTACATTCAAACAGAAGGGAGAAAGATTCCTTTAAATGAACGATCACATGCCTTCCTTCTTCAAAATCCTCCGATTGCTTCCTGCTCTTTCCATGAAAATTCAAAGTGTTTACCATAGTTTGCAAGGTACTAATAATCAGGGTTCCTGGTCACATCTTCCGTTTCATTTCTTCCTTCTAGAAGCTTACTCCTTTTTAGACCTGGTCATCTCGTGGTTCCTCAGTCAGGCCACACCTGTTCCAGTCTTAGGCATTGGCAGCTGCTGCTCTGTGGTTCAAACTCTCCTCTCCCCAGGGCTAGGAATGGCCCTACTCTCTTCTTTAAATTGAACTCTCAACATTCCCATTGCTTTTATTCCCGAATCTTGTTTTGTTTGTGTTCATAAATATTTATTTTTATTCTGTGGTTTCATCCCTACAACGAGACCCCCAAAAGTTAGGAATTTTGTGTTTTCCATTTACTGCTGTATTCCCAGTGTCTAGACAGTGTCTGGAACATGGTAGGTACTCAACAAATACTTGTTTTTTGTACGTTTAAGACCAGCACTATTTATTTTCGAAAGAGAATTATGTGGTGTGATCTCTCATTCTTCAATATTTGATATCCTTTCCTGTGGGCGAATTACACGTTTGCTCATGGAGTTCAAGCACGGCTGTGTGACTCTCTCTATGCAAAGGCTTTAAGAACCTGTGTGTGGTTTACCATGCCTTCTCTGCGCCTCTGCCACAGTAACCAGCAGTGTTCTAGACAGAAGCTGCTCTGTCAGCCTGGACCCCAGAGAAAATGCTGTGGGGCAAAGCCACAGTGCATCATAGCATGTGTAATAAATAAACATTGTGTATCAAGCCATTGAGATCTGGGAACTGTTTCCACACTTATAACCTAATTTATCCTGACTGGTATAGACAGCTAGGCAACCATGGGCCAAGGCCAGTCCTGAGAACACCTATGACATTTTGAAATATTACATAGGATTGCCTGAGCTAGTTCTTCCTAACAATCTAGTTCTTTACTGCCTCAACATTTTATTTGAAAAAGCTGAAATTTTAAAAAAAAGGACACTAGAATATTTATTTTATTATTAACTTATTTCCTCATGTTTTCATGCAAAAGCATTGTGGGAAAAAGTAACTCAAGTATCTTATGGATTTAAAAACTGTTTACTAAACATGACATACCTGAAAATCAAATGGTAAACTTGCAAATAACACTGATTCCAAAGCTGTGCCTCAGACTGTGCCTGACTGGATCTCTGGGACTCATGTTTTCAAGTTTGTATTATGTTTGAAGTTCCCCAGCTGACTGATATAGCTGGTCCAAAGCCAGAGCTCCAGGTAAATGTTCCTTTTTTAAGACTCTAGGAAACAGAGTGCTGCTTGGACCCTCAAGAACTGCTACTCTACCCCACTTCAAATACATCCAAAAATAGAGCTTCTTGCATTGGTTCATAACATTTCAAATTTGTCAGTGGAAAATTTTGCCTATGCAAGATAATTCTCCAAAAATAAGATATTTGCTTTACTTTCACCTGCCATTAAATGCAAATAGCTTACTCTGTACAAAATTCTCAAGGCAGTATGACTTAGATCCACTCCTGTAGAAATAGAGGAGACTAAGAATGTCATAATGCTACACAGTTGCTCTCTGTTTAGACAATGGTGAAGCTGACCTGGACCCAGCAGGAGAATTTCCTTCATTAATACAATATGAGGCAGTTGCTTACATTATTTCACAAGAAGTAATTCAGATAAGCAGTCATCGAGAATCCCACAGGAGACATCAGGATTTTATTGTTAGGTGCCAGAAACAACCTGTGTTGGATGTGAGGAAAAAAATTGAACATGATGTATTTCCAAATGCAGGTAATATAATTAATAAAATCTTGCTTCTTGCCCCCCAAATCCTTTTAACCCCATCTATACTGTGCTCAAGGCTGTCTCTCTTATGGGATAGAGAAATGGAAGAAAAGATTGTAGCCCTTTGGGTATTTCATTTGACCTTGATGCTAGCATTGAAGGTCTCATAAGGTTAAAATGTCAAAGGAGAGAAGAGTTAGTTAGAGAAACACACTCATCTAACAGTGCTCTGAGAGGAAACCAGAAATCTTATACTTATTTATAATGTATTTACTTTTAAGAGGAAGAAACAACCATATTGAAGAATCTTTGTCCAGAATGCACAATGAACTAAGTAAGGGTCACCAAGCCAGAAGCAATAGCTGGGAGCAGTGTGGTTTGCTGGATAGCAAGGATCAGCTCTGTGTGCCTTGGCAGAAAGCCTCAGCCTCATCCAGACAGGCATGCAGCATTTAAGGAGAAGCAGAGATAAACATCTACCATTGCTGACAGATGAAGAGAACTGGTCTACCACATCTTGGCTTCTTTGCCTTCATTTTTAGTAATGCAAACACAAATAAGATTTTTCTTTCCCATGAAGTAACTAATTACTAGGTAAGTTATTTTAAGTCCTAGCATTACTACAAAGAAAAATAAATTTCTTTCTGGCACCATCTTAAAAGAATTTCAATTGGATTAGGTTCCTTTAATCTAGATGAATTTAATAATACCTTTAAAAAAATCTTTGTCACATCCCTCCCTATTTCATTCTTTCTTCACTCCCACTTAAAGATACTGTTTATTGAGTTGGCCATGGTGGTTCACAACTGTAATCCTAGCTACTTAGGAGGTGGAGGTAGGAGGATCATGGTCTGAGGCCAGCCCCTGAGTCAAAGTGTGAGACCCTATCTGAAAAATAAAGCAAAAGAAGGGCTGAGGATGTGCCTCAAGTAAGTGGTAGAGTGCTTGCCCAGCAAGTGTGAGGCCTTGAGTTCAAACCCCAGTACTGCCAAAAAAAAACCACCAGCCTTTATTGCTCAAATTTTATGATGAATTCCTGCTAAAAATAGGCAAAAGTATAGATTTTGGTTAATTATGTGCATAGTTTGGAAAAATCTAAACATGAACAACTGAATTATTTAGAAAACTGGGGATAAACACACACCAGTTCTCATGCATACAGAAGAGAGGGGGAGAGAGAGAGAGAGAGAGAGAGAGAGAGAGAGAGAGAGAAATTCAAGACTCTTCCCTATGCTCCAGGACATTGACTGATTGTCTTTTGTAATTTTTCTGCTCAAATTGCACCTGTGAATTCAATGAAGCTTAAAGTGTCTAGAAAATTTCATGAGTTTCTGCATTTCTGAAATTTTTGTTTAGCATGTTTTAACCAAATGCTATTTCACATGTTCTTTCTTTCACTGTTCCCATAGCTTGTTTTAATACTTAGCAGGTTAAGTGCAGCAGTGTGACTGCTGCAGCACAGTCACAGAGAGAGGTGAGAACATTCTTTCAGGTCATAAATTTCCTTTGCTGTTTGGAGAAATGGAGTATGCATCTTCTTTTTCCCAGAATTCCCCAGGTAACTAACTTCTCATGGATTGTCAGCAGAGCAATGTTTTCCTTCTCTAGAGACAGCTTCATGAAACCTTCCACAAATCCACTCTCCTTGGAGGAAATGCTACTTTAGTTAGGTAAATTTATGAAGAACAAAATTTTACTTCTGATTTCTTGTTTACCTGTTACATCCAACCCCCTCCCCCCCCATGCAAAAGAAAGGAAAAAGCTTTGTAATGCTGACATGACTTGTAATTTTCTTTCTTTCTTTCTTTTTTTTTTTTTTTTTTTGTGGTACTGGGTTTGAACTCAGTGCCTCAAGCTTGCTAGGCAGGCACTATTACCGCTTGAGCCACTCTACCAGTGATGGGTATTTTTGAGATAGGGTCTCATGAACTATTTCCCCGGGCTGGCTTCAAACTTTGATCCTCCTGATCTCTGCCTCCTGAGTAGCTAGGATTACACGTGTGAGCCACCAGCACATGGCTGTTAAGTAATTTTTATGTAATAGTTTTTAATATTTCCTTCCCATTAGTGGGCCAGTTCCCTAAAAGCAGGAGCTATGCCTGGCTTATTCACACCCATAAAAATATTTTTTAAATTAATACATAAATTGTTTTGAATAAATGAATGAGTCAGAATGGCTGTCCAGTCTTTACAGTGGGGAAAACAAACACCTTTCCTGTTCTTGCTAAACAAAAATTGTCCTAGCCATTTATAGGGGTTTAGTTCTTAGTGCAAGATTACACTTAGAAAATGTTTTAAAGGTTGAAAGTTTTTTTGCCAGCTTTAAAGAAGGTTCCAAAAATAAGGGTTCAAGAGGAATGCAAGTTGAGTTTTAGACACTCATACCAGGATGCATTTCTGAGAATTTAAGACAGCAGTGTGACATGCTGAGCATTTTGGTAGACATCACACTGGACAACACATTAAGACTGCTTATCAGAACTTTTGTCCCTTAGCAGATATTTGGGGGTTTTAAATTTGGAACTATGTATCAAGAACTGGGAAAAGATTTTAATTTATATACAAATAAGTTAGAGTGTTACAGTTTCCTGGCAACTGGAAGAAGTCAAAATTCCTAATCAGAGAGGTAAACAATTTAT